ATTAAATACAAGGGGTGTAACGATATCCAAGTCTCACGATACGATATTTATTGCGATATCACGGGAAAGCTCACGATATGGAGAGGAGGTTCACGATTAGGGATATAATAATATACAAATCTCCCAGTACGATATTTTCACGATATACATCTCACGTTACGATATTTATTGCGATATTTTGTGGAGGCAAACTAAACTGTTAACTGTTTTTCCTCTTCAAATGCCCTCACAAGACTTAATCCAAAGAACTCAGACTTAAAAGTGTTAGAACTGTTATTTCTTCTTGTAGTCTGCAAAGGATCATGGTCTATGTAGTTCCCTCTGTCTTTTTTTAGCTGTTGCAGCACCATAACTCTTCATTTAAGCAAAGAGACTTGTGATTCGATATATTGTGATGGTCTACGATATTATTGTGAGAACTCTGACACTACGATATCACGATATTTTGGTTATTTTTACATCCCTATTAAATACTAAATACTAATATGCTAGTCCTATATTGTCCTATTAGGGATGCACCGATTCAATACTTTTATTGGATATCGACGCCAATATTGAAAATACTGAAGGCTGAATGTTTCTGTCAGTAAAAAGTCCCTCTCAGACCGATCTCGTGTTTGATTCAACCTGACCATGGCAGATCTGCTGATGGTTCTTCTGCTGTGTCTTGTGCTGCTCTGACCCAACCCAACGTTTCTCTGAAGGGAAACCAAAAGTTTTGCTTCTCATCAAACCATAAAACCAGTGTTTCAATTCTCCTCAGTGTATCTCATTTAGAAACACGGAGAGCTGTGTGCACAAGTAAGTTTTGTTTTTAAAGAAACAGAACCAACAGTGTGAGCTGTGCTGGTAATGATATGGGCTTATCTGGAGCTGTACAACTGAGTGCATTGTCCATTCATTAAGGCTGCTACAGTATATTGAATCACAAGTTCCTTTGCTTAAATGCAGGTTTTATAGTAATCACCAGTGTTGGGAATAACGCGTTATAAAAGTAACGAATTACTGTAATGCGTTGCTTTTGCTGTAGCACAGTAATGTGGCATTACAGGGAAAAAAATCGTAATATTTTACTCGGTACAAATGTCAGTAATGCACGTTAACAAAGCTTTTTCAGCCTGGTTGAAGTGGTGGGTTTTTCTTCATACAAATTTACTAAAATCACCACGATATCAACAGCGGTGAAACACTGAAGACGCGCCCGTGTAGACCAGCGCAGAACTCCGCTCCGACCTGGTTCAGTCCTGGTTTAGTCCTGATTCAGCTCTGGTTTAGGCCTGGTTTAGGCCTGGTTCAGTCCTGGGTTAGTCCTGGCTCAGTTCTGGTTCAGCTCTGGTTCAGCTCTAGTTTAGTCCGGGGTTCAGTCCTGATTTAGTCCTTGTTCAGTTCATATATGGCGCAAAAGTTCAGCATTTTCACGGTTAGAGTGAGAGTAACTTAAAAGTAATTCAATAGTAATGTAATGTTTTACATTTTAAATGCAGTAATATTATAATGTAACTAATTACTCTGAAATGACAGTAACAAGTCATAAATAGCACATTAAAGTTTTGAAGTAACTTGCCCAACAGTGGTAATAACATCTTATAAACATTGGGAGCTACATTTCCCATGATTCATTTCAGCACAGACAGCATGAAGAGATGTGTTTTTACCTGAATTCTTTGGATTATGACAGTAATAATTCACACCAAAATCTTGTCAAGGTATTTTAAACGCAAAAAAGAGCCCCATCTACAATTACATCAGGCCTCTTCAAACCGTACCGTGTTACATCCCTACCAGTCATACCAGCCAATGTGGGTGAAGTGCCTTGCTTAAGGGAAGGTTGACAGTTTTGACACTGCTGTCTCCCATCCAACTACTAACCAGGCCCAGTCCTCCTAAACTTCAGAGACTTTGATACAAGTTTTAGCACTGAATAGAAGTGACCTCAGAATAAGACCTCCATTGAAACACCGGGACATTTTTAACACCACTGTCATGATTATATCTGGTCTTCCTCTTTCCTCTTTACTCAGAAATAGTCCTTTGTTCCACTTCCAGGTCTTTGTTCCCCAAGGTCATGAACACTCCTCTGACGCTTTAGCAGCCGTTTCCGTTGTTATGAATTGTATTTATTTTGTCATCCACAGAGATGTTTGAAGAGAACCTTATGGACCCAAACCAAAACTCCGGGAAAGGACTTGTACCCAGACCCAAACGCTCTACCGGAAAAACAGGATTTACTCTGGATCCAAACGCTGGGTCCGCCTCCGAAGAAATCCGGACTGACAGTAGCTTAAAGTCTACATATTTGAACTGTCTTCACCACCAAAGCCCCATGCAGAACACATGCCATGAAAGAGCTGCCCATATGAGGTTTATATTTCTATTTTGGTTATCTGACTGGTTAAAGTCTGTGTTACTGAGCACCTGCCATCAGCTCCTGTCAAACTGCTCTGTTAATGTATTATACAAGCTTGTAGAGGTATTTATGCTCATGGGTTACAGTCACGTGACGTCAGCACAAGAGTCTCTAGAGATGAACCTGAGCTGGAGACAGGTGAGAGTGGAGAGAGGTGGAGGACTTTAATCTGTGTATCATTTGTTCATTCATTTTTCAATATAAAACCAAAAATAAGAAAATGAAAAAACAACAGTTTTCTTCATTATTTGTCTCCAAAACCAAAATGAAAAAAGTGTATAATTCTTTTTTTAAATTTTCGATTTTGTGTTTAAATGAAGAATGGAAAAAAAATATAACGACCGTTTCCCGTTTATATGACTCCTGTGACTGCGATGCCAGATTTTGCACTGCATACGGACTGAACCAGGACTGATCCAGGTCTGGGACCAGAGCAGACCGAGCTTTGACTCCAAGCCTCCGCGGGGTCCAAGCCTCAGCTTCAAGCTCCGGCCCTGCTGTGGGCTCTGAGCCTCCTGTCTGGTCCTGGTCCCAGTCCCGGTCTCAGTCTGGGTCTCAGTCTGGGTCTCAGTCTGGGTCTCAGTCTGGGTCTCAGTCTGGGTCTCAGTCTCGGTCTCAGTCTGGGTCTCAGTCTCGGTCTGGTCCCGGTCTCAGTCCCGCTCACGTTATCAGTTTTTTTCCATTTTTCATTTAAACACAAAATCAAAAACTTAAAAAAGAATCATTATCCATTTTTTCATTTTGGTTTTGGAGACAAATAATGAAGAAAACTGTAGTTTTTTTTGTTGTTGTTTTTTTTGGTTTTATATTGAGAAATGAATGAAGAAATGATACATGGATTGACTTTGAGACAGTGTGGTGCGGTGAAGAGGTGTTTGTGTTCGGTGAGGGAGGGGCAGTTGATTTTGCATCTTTAGGGGGGTTGGGAGATTGAGTATTGTTTTTTTATTGTCTTTGGTGTTTTGTAGGATTTTCAGTCATAAGTGATATAATAAATGTATTGTTAAAAGTCAAAATTCAGGTGAGAGTGTCAGATGGAGTTTGCAGTGAAATTGTCAGATGCAAATGTGTTGATTTGTGTTTTATGGTTCATATCTTTGTAATTCCTGGGCCTATCCACATGAAACAAAAACTGGCACAAAGTTCAGCGTCTTCTCTGTCACGAGAAATAATTCAACCCCAAAGACATGATTGTTTCAGGTGAAAGGACTTAAGGACCATAAGATTAAAATGACAAGTTTCTGGAGCTGATCAGACACAAATAATGAGAAGGAGAAACATTAGTGGAATTTTTGATCCACAGATTAGTCAAGTGACAACAATCACATCTTTGGGGTTGAATAATTGAACCATAACTGGAGCTATTATGAAAAAAAAAAAATCACTTTTGTTTAGATGGTGAACTTTGTGCCACTTTTGTTTCTCGTGGATAAGCTCAATTACAAAGATATGAACCATAAACCATAAATCAACACATCTGCATCTGACAGTTTCACAGGAAACTCCACCTGTCTCCAGCTCAGGTTTCCACAGATCTAGTTTGTTGTAATGTCACAAGAATGCAACCTAAAACTTAAAAGAAGCATCTATCTGTTATATCTGCTATATTCAGAGTGACAACACGAAACACTGAATCATTTGAATGGTGATAGTGTGGACTTGAAAAACACAGAGGAGGCCTTGGACGTGTTCTCATTTTAGACCACTTAAAACGAGGTCAAAACCAAGGACCAAACCAAGGACCAAACCAGAACTGGACCAGAAATGAAACTCAGAACTAAACTAGGAATACACTAGAACTAAGTGAGGTAAACCAGGGTCTAAACCGGGTCTAAACCGGGTCTAAACTGTGGTCTAAACTGTGGTCTAAACTGTGGTCTAAACTGGGTCTAAACCTGGTCTAAACCGGGTCTAAACCGGGTCTAAACCGGGTCTAAACCGGGTCTAAACTAGGGTCTAAACCGGGTCTAAACCGGGTCTAAACTGGGTCTAAACCGGGTCTAAACTAGGGTCTAAACCAGAGTCTAACCGGGTCTAAACCGGGTCTAAACCGGGTCTAAACCAGGGTCTAAACCGGGTTTAAATGAAGGACCAAATCAAAAGTAAACCAGGGACTAAATCTACTCTTGTTGATTCCCAGAGGTGGTTAGTAGTAACTTGCACAATACTTCTACAGTACTTCTTGTAGTACTTCTACATTACTTCTTGACCTGAAGTTTAATATTTTTCCCGTGATAATACTTTCCCTTCAGTTAGCGCTGAAAGCTTAGACTGTGTGTGTACAGTCTATGGGTGAGACTTTGTGAAAAATATTCTTACTTTTTGTTGTGGTCTTTTATGAAAGTACCACAGTGATGGCACAGGTGTATGTTTAGATTTATTTTATACTAAAACATACACATGACTTATTTCAACAGTTACTCAGTCCTTGAGTATGTGTTTTTTTTCCTGACATTTTCTATTTGTCTCCTTCTGTTTGGCAAAAGGAGGTTGAGTTCTGTCCAAATGAAGGATCTCTTTGACAGACCATAGAACAACACACAGCTCTGTCAAAAAGAACCTTTATCTGGACAGAAGAGTGGAGGACCTAAATGATTTAAGGTTCATGTGTGAATTGTGCACAGGTTAGTTGGATGAGTTGACAGAATTCAGCTTTGTCTCTTTATATTTGAGTAGTATTGTCTATAGTAGTTCTGCTCTACCTCCTCTGTAAAAGCACGTTGTAGATCACTGGTCCCGTTTTAACATCTGGTTTCAACTTCTGTGGAAATGAACTTTAATATGTAATACAAAACAACTCATGTATACCTGGTTAAAGCCACAGTATGTAACTTTCTGGAGGTGGTACGGCGCCTGCATGGTTCCAGGAGAAAGCACTCCTCCAAAAGAAATGAGTCATGAGTCGTGTGTGTGGAGATTCAAGGGCACAGTGTGAGGGTGCATGTGCATTTTTTATGTTTTTCAGTGCAAAAAAAACATGCTTTTATTTTAATCTATTTTTTTTTTAATCATGTTACATACTGTGGTTTTAAGAAAAAGACAAAAAAGCAAAAGCACGTTAAAATGCACTTTAATACTTTATGTATAGACTTGAAATGTAGCAAAACCTCAACATACTCCTTACTGTTACTGTGATTAAAACTGTTATTTGATGATCTGAATATTCAGGTGGGAGTGACATCATTCACTTTTTTATTGGTTTAAAGACAAAAGTCTACTGTCCATGTGTCCCTGAGCAAGACACTGACACAGTATGGACAGGAAGGGCATCTGGCACAAAAACATACAGGTTCATAATAGACAAATAAGACAAAGGAGAACATCAGGATTTGAGCTGAGACTTCAGTACAGTGTGACAGGAGCCGACAGGTGCAAGTGCTCACAGATACAGACTTTAACCCGACCGGAGATCAATGCAACAAAACTGTAAAATGAAAATGAAATGCAACAAAATGAACATTTGACCAAGAATGAATGTGACTCATGTGCACTAGAACGAATGGATTTGTGATCGAACCATGATGGACTCGTGTTTCAATCAGATTATTCTGGAGAAGCAGGACCAAACCAGGACCAAACCAGGACCAAACCAGGACCAAACCAGGACCAAACCAGGACCAAACCAGGACCAAACCAGGACCAAACCAGGACCAAACCAGGACCAAACCAGGACTAAATCAACACCGAACCTGGAACAAACCCGGAGTAAATCAACACCAAGCCAGGACCAAACCAGGACTAAACCTGTATCATCTTAGGTGTAAATCAGGACACACACACAGTAGCAGTAGTAGTAGCAGTAGTATTAGCAGTTACTGAAGTAAATTCAGTATGTGACACTGAAGTAGTTTTAAATGTGGAATATTTCATTTTATTTTGTTTTTGTTATAATGAGGTGAAATTTGTGTTCATATTTTTAACAACTTTAGTGTCAGTACTCTATTGAGCTCCTACAACTGCCACTATTACTATTACTATTACTATTACTACTACTACTACTACTATTACTATTTCTATTTCTATTACTACTATTACTACTATTATTACTATTATACTACTATTACTACTACTACTACTATTACTATTACTATTACTTACTACTTACTACTACTACTCTGAATGAGGTTCTCTGACACCTGTTGAATAAGACCCAAATGATTTGATGTACATTAGATCATGGTCTGACTCTGCACTGTACTTGTACTTCAAGTACGACTAAACACTTAAACTCCTCCCAATAAGGAGCAGAGTAATTGGTTTAACAGGTTTCCACACTTCAAAGTGTGTCCCTGCAAACATCTGTCTGTCCTGAGTGATGTCACATAGTACATGAAATTGCAGAGAGAAAATGTTATTCAAACACTGTGAATTAAAAACGTTTCATTTGGTGTTTAGTTCCACTTGAATGTTCTCAGTTCAAGTGTAAAGATTGAAAATAGCAGGAAAATTTTCATTTTCTAATTTGAGAAAAACAAGTAAGAAAAACACAACCACTGTTCAAAATGTATACTCTAGAACTATATTATATTATAACTCATATGAATTTAAATATAACTAAAGTGGACTGTCCAGAGTTTGGTGCAGTGCATTTATAGACAGTGGTGTGGTGTTTTTAGTTTCTCTGCTCTCAGTAAATGATTTTAGGTGAACTAGAATCTTTTTACAAGAGTACAGGAGAGTGTTCACTTTCAACTGTCAACATTTGAAAAACTATTTAAAGCACAACTATGTAACTTTCAGCAACAGAGCTCCCCCTGCAGCTCCATTATGAGAATACACTGTCAGGGATTAGACTTCTTTTCTTTTCTCCTCTCTCTCTCTCTTTTAATTGAACTAGGCAGTCCTTTTTTATATTCTTTTTAAATAACGTTGCAAAGTCATTCTCTATTCCTTTTATCGAAAGTCTGCTTACTTTTTCTTTCACTTGCTACTTTCAATCCCTGTTCTTGAAAGATAAAAACTAACTGTAGACCAGACTATAGAGACATTATTTATTTAAAATGTTGGTGTTGTTGTTGTTCTGGATTTAATGTTTAAGCATTAATTATGTTATTAAACATTTATTTTAATAAGGAAAAGTGTAACATTACATGTCTCAAAAGAAGAGAAAACATGCAGATGGTGTTGAAATGTTTTAATAAATATTTAGTTTGGCCCACAACTTAGTCCCAATTTAGAATTTTGGCCTCTGTGAATTTGAGTTTGACACCTCTGCTTCAGAACATTGTTAAAACCTGCTCAAAAATCTCAGGGGTCACACTGAGAGAGCTGCGTTCTCTGTGAGAAGAGCAAGTGCTGAGCAAAGCGAAGTGTGTCATGACTTTATCATGATGCTTCCAAGCCTCAGTTTTATGCTCTGTTACAAAAGACAAACCACCTCTCAGATTATTTTGTGTGCTCTGCTATAAAATTGCTTAATGCTGAGGGTAGTGTTTTTGAAGTTTTGCAATGTAATACACATATTTTATATTGAATTCCACTTGTGGACTGTAGCAGACTAACAGCTGTGTGTGTTTGTGTGTTTGTGTACATGTGAGATGTGACATCTGCGCTGAGATACTGCAAATGAAGTGCCCTCTGTGATCAAGAACGTTTTCTGAATCTGAATCTGAATCAAAAAAAGGAGTAGTCTCTGTGAGTGGTGACAGAGAAAGACCCAACAAACAGGTTTAACAAAGACCAAGTCAAATGTTACACAGTTCTGCTTTAAACTATTGATGATGTCACACATAAGTTAGTGTGTTCTGTGACCAGCAGAGGGCGTACCTGGTGTAGGCTTGTTTTTACTCTTCATCACTAGTTTGTAAGGTTAGTGTTAGTATTAGTGTTAGTATTAGTGTATACCCACAAACTAGTGCACTTATAAACCTGGTGATCTTTTGGCTCTTCATGGATGTTTCTTCCTAACAGCAGCTCATTTGTTTACCTGTTTCCCCGTTGCTATGGTGATGCTCACAGTGTAGTGATGTAGAATAGAGTTAACTCTTGCTGAATAGTGCCCAGTTGTTCAAAAGTAATGCACGACAGACATTTTTATTTAGTTAGTTTATTTATGAGACAGGAACAGCGCACAATAGACATAACATAACCTTAACAGGAGAGATTCACTGTACCAGGCTCTAGCACGAGAGCTAATCCATGTTGGACTGGTCTCTGTATACTCTGAGCTTTTGAATGCTTTTTATGACACGCCTTTGTGACATTGCACTTCAACTTTGTTAAGCTGATTAATAAAAACAATTAATCATTAAAAAAATAATAATGATAAAAACAAAGTTTTGTTTTTGCCTGGGAATGGATCCAGAACTCGAACTTCTCCAGTAGTCTGCTTCACAAACATGTGACATGCCTCTATATGTGCTACAGACCTGGTTTAGACCTGGTTTAGACCTGGTTCAGACCTGGTTTAGACCTGGTTCAGACCTGGTTCAGACCTGGTTTAGAACTGGTTCAGACCTGGTTCAGACCTGGTTTAGTCCTGGTTCAGACCTGGTTTAGACCTGGTTTAGTTTTGGTTTAGACCTGGTTTAGACCTGGTTTAGTCCTGGTTTAGACCTGGTTTAGACCTGGTTTAGTTTTGGTTTAGATCTGGTTTAGTCCTGGTTCAGACCTGGTTTAGACCTGGTTCAGACCTGGTTTAGACCTGGTTTAGTTTTGGTTTAGACCTGGTTTAGACCTGGTTTAGTCCTGGTTCAGACCTGGTTTAGACCTGGTTCAGACCTGGTTCAGACCTGGTTTAGTCCTGGTTCAGACCTGGTTTAGACCTGGTTTAGTTTTGGTTTAGACCTGGTTTAGACCTGGTTTAGTTTTGGTTTAGACCTGGTTTAGACCTGGTTTAGTTTTGGTTTAGATCTGGTTTAGTCCTGGTTCAGACCTGGTTTAGACCTGGTTTAAACCTGGTTCAGACCTGGTTTTGTCCTGGTTCAGACCTGGTTTAGTCCTGGTTTAGACCTGGATTAGTCCTGGTTTAGACCTGGTTTAGTCCTGGTTTAGACCTGGTTTAAACCTGGTTTAGTTTTGGTTTAGTTTTGGTTTAAATCTGGTTTAGTCCTGGTTCAGACCTGGTTCAGTCCTGGTTTAGTCCTGGTTTAGACCTGGTTTAGTCCTGGTTTAGTTTTGGTTTAGACCTGGTTTAGTCCTGGTTTAGTCCTGGTTTAGACCTGGTTTAGTCCTGGTTTAGTCCTGGTTTAGTTTTGGTTTAGACCTGGTTTAGTCCTGGTTTAGTCCTGGTTTAGACCTGGTTTAGTCTGGTTTAGTCCTGGTTTAGTCCTGGTTTAGTTTTGGTTTAGACCTGGTTTAGTCCTGGTTTAGTCCTGGTTTAGACCTGGTTTAGTCCTGGTTTAGTCCTGGTTTAGTCCTGGTTTAGTTTTGGTTTAGACCTGGTTTAGTCCTGGTTTAGTCCTGGTTTAGACCTGGTTTAGTCCTGGTTTAGTCCTGGTTTAGTCCTGGTTTAGTTTTGGTTTAGACCTGGTTTAGTTCTGGTTTAGTCCTGGTTTAGACCTGGTTTAGTCCTGGTTTAGACCTGGTTTAGTCCTGGTTCAGACTTGGTTTAGTCCTGGTCGGTCTTGTTACAGGACTCAACAGGAGGCCTGTCATGATAATCACTGTATCGACTTATCGTTCTATAACTGACAGAACATTTATTGTGTTTTTTTGTTTGTTTTTTTTTGCTTTACTGGGAGATTTGGGGAATATTTAGAATGAGTACAAGTACAAGTGTCAGAGCACATAGACTCGTGTACACACATGGACCAACATGAACCTACTGCACCACTCACCATTACACTTCTCTACACTGTCTCTGACACAGCTACGACGTAAAACTGAACTTAAAATTATTTGCATGATCTTATATTCATAAAGACTCAGTGTGAATCATAGAAAGTTGTTCAGTTGATGTTTGATATCGTCTTGAGGATAATCTCCACAGACACGTTAGAATTCTCTGACTAACAATCATCAGATCACAAACGTCCAGATGATTTTAGAGCTGTTCCCCTGGTTCAGGAGGATATTGAGGCATGTAGAGATGTTCTTTTTTTAGATTGATGTGTTTGCTGTGTAAGAAGTGACCTGGAGTTGAAGTGTAGTTCACCTGTTGGGGGCGTCTTCACCCTCCTCGTCTCCTGCTGTAGTCCTGGCAGAGGTGCTGTCTCGTCACCAGTCCAGTCATCACCAAGTCATCTATGTGTGTGTACGGGTCCAAGTCATCCACTCTTTTTCTACTTCATCTATCTTCTTGTTCTTTCCTTTGATTGTGTCCCTCGCTCACACTTCTTCAGTTGCCTTCAGCAGATCTTTGTGTTGAAGCATCAGTGTTTATGTTAACCACGTTACTCAGCTCTTGTGTCAGTGAGTTTGAGTGGAGTGAGTTCTTCACTTCTTCATGTCGTCTTTGTGAGATGATCTACAGTGGCTTGTTTATTTGAAAGACATTAGTATGAGGTAAACCTTCAGACTAAGAGCAGCATTACTATTTATTTACTTATTATTACCAACCTGTTACTGCCTTTGTGATGTAAAAGCATGTGTTCTTCTTTTTCACTCAGCTAATTTACAAATGTGAACAATAACACAGGTTTTATCTTTTTGTTTATGTGTATAATAGATCTGAGTTAGTTTCATTTGTGTGAGTTTGCTGTTGGAAGGTAAACAAGTTTATTTGCAGAGCACAATTCATACACAAAGTAATTCAAAGTGCTTTACAGAATAAAAAAGATTAAAATCATCTTAGAAGAGTGTGGAATAAAAAACCTTTCAGTCATATTCAGCTAAACAGAATTGTTTTGAGTCTGGATTTAAAGAGTCAGAGCAGAGGTCTGCCTCACATGTTCAGGAAGACTGTTCCAGGATTGAGCTGCAGAAAACTGAAACACTGACTCTCCATGTTTAGTCCAAGTTTAGTCCTGCTTTAGCCCTGGTTTAGTCCTGGTTTAGTCGTGACTCTGGCACCAGCAGGAGGTCGGTCCCTGAGCTCCTCACAGTGCAGATGTTCATGTGGTTCTAACATGTCACAGATGGACTTTGGTGCTCAGTCATGGAGAGACTTGTACAAGCAGAGCTGCTTTAAAGTCTCTGAGCCACAGGAGCCAGTGCAGATCTGGAAGTGCTGCAGTGGTCTGACACTCACCTGTTACACCAGTCTAACCTACTGGACACAAACACAAGTCTCTCCAAGTCTGTTTAGACAGTAAACCTGAGATTAGATGGTCCCATTTAAACTCACATTCATTTGATCATTTCCAGTGCAGACTAAACAGTTTGATCCTGGGTTCTGTTTTGTTATTTCAGTTAAATGATCACACACACACACACATTGATCATTTAAATATACTTTATTTGTTTACCTGCATCTCCTCATGGTCCACACACAGAGGGGGCGTCAGCCATTTTTAAAGTTGTGGGCCGGACCATGTGGATCATTGTTTGTGTGTATTTGACTTAAGTGTTTAAGTGTTTCTAGTCTGTAAACACTTAGATTTAAAGGGGATTCAGGCCCTTGTAAAGGACACGGGTACCTTTAGAGTTTTAAAGTGACCTGTAAAAGAAATGTGGTACTTACCTGGGGGACTTTCTGTCAGGGAGTATAAAAGGTGCTCGGGTCGGTCAATAGAGGGAAGACTTCTGTGTAGTTGGGTGCACACTGTGGTTGTGTTATTGTGTTATATAATTCAGTTATTTTACATTCACAGCCAAAGTCTATTTTAATACATTTGTTCAGTAAGACACTTTTTTGTTAAGTCTGTCTCTCTATTTTGACCACATTGGACCAGCTTCCCCACACACTGTCTCTTTGTTTCTGTGGGTCAAAGATGAAGACTTGTGTGTTGTCTGAGTTCAGCTGGAGGCAGTAGTTCCTCATCCACACACTGATCTGTTGGATGTGGTGGCAGAGTGAGTCTTTTGGTCCATATTCACCTGCTGCAGTGTGACAGAGAGTGAGTGTGGTCTGTAGAGTTATGGTAGGACATGTTTTTGGGATGTCATGTGTCATGTTGATCAGAGCAGTCTCAGTGCTGTGGTGGGCTCTAAAACCTGACTGGAAAACTGCAAAGGAGTTGTAGGACACATTTCTTAAGCTTTCACCTTAACTCGTTCATCCTTTTAGAGTCATTATAGTTCTGTGGTTGTATGACCTTGACTTTTTCACATAAACAAAAGTATTCTTTGGTTGTATTTCAGACTCAGACGTAAACTCCCAGCTCTGGACTGATGATCACTAAACGAGTGCCTAAGATCTGGATGATGCCAATGGGCTCGACTACCAGACTATGCACAGGATGCACAGGTAAATTATGATTACAAAACATGCAAAACTGACACCTTACACTGTATGCTATAAGAAAAATATATTGAAAATTGTTTCTATATTTTTTTTTAGCTCCGATTACAGCTACAAAGTGCCTTTTAATGGTGTTCAGCCAGTTGGTGTCTACGGAAACGGGTCCAAGTCTGGCTCCATGGGGCTTGGAAATGCATCCTCTGAAACAATCACACCTGTCCTCTGAAACAATCACACCTGTCCTCTGAAACAATCACACCTGTCCTCTGAAACAATCACACCTGTCCTCTGAAACAATCACACCTGTCCTCTGAAACAATCACACCTGTCCTCTGAAACAATCACACCTGTCCTCTGAAACAATCACACCTGTCCTCTGAAACAATCACACGTCCTCAGGCCCAGTCACACATGTACAGAGGTAAATCTGAGGGTATTTAAGTGTCATGGTTGATTATTTTCACTGTGTACACAGTAGGGCCCCTTGAAGACCAGGGCCGGCCCTCGTAGTGTGCAAAAAGAATCAACAAAAAATGTATAATAAATAAGAGGATACAAGATGTCCGCTTTAAACAAATCCATAGAACTGACCCTGTCAATCAGTTTATACTAAGACGTATTAAAAATACGGAGATGCACTATAATAAAACCTGTTTTTAGAGCTTCACATTCTCAAAAGATCATACTGACTCTCATCTTTCATTAAAATCTGAACATCATTTTTGGTATACGAGATAACAATTTGGACTGGATCTATTTTTCCTTTTCCAATTAAGCCAATAGAATCCTGCCTATTTACCATTTGCAAAAGCTTCAACAGAAAAGTCATACTGACATGGAGGTGGTTTGTCTCTGAACATCCCAATAATTGTTTTTTATTATTATTATTATTTTTTTTTTAACAATGTCTGCCTTTAGCATTCTATTCTATATTATGTGTTTTTGATCCTGTCATTAGAAAAAAAAAAGACTTCTCACATTTATAACCACAGA